AATTTATTAACCTTCATAATCAATAAGTGTCTGAGCCATCAGTACTTAAATTCTGCATGTTGAGTGATTCTCAGTGTTCTAAATTATAAACATTTATGACTAATAAAATAAGGCTATCAAAGATGTATTATTAATTCAATGTGATAATTAAAGGTCTTTTACTTTTTTGTAATTTTCATTAAATATGGTACAATTTAGCAAAGTTGCTAAAAACCTTGTGTTGCATATTTGTTTTTGAAAACAAAATTACTGGTAAAATAATGAGTACATTTTTTTAGTTTATCAAATATACACTGTCCAATTTTAGATTTCAGTGGTTGTTGTTACTGAAGTATTATGTTATAATTTAAAAATAATAAGATTCCTATTTTTATGTTAATGAATAACTTTTGCTCATAGTAATTTAAGTGGAGGCCTAGTTAAGGTATTTTACAGGGCTACAATAACTTTATTGTACTTAAATTTAAAATTATTATAAACTGAACCTACAGCTTTTGTTTGATATTTTTCAACACAGCTAAACACTTTACTAAAGGTTTTAGGTTTAGTTTTAAATAATCATATGTATAAAGCATTTTTTTGTTATCCCTAACACCAGTTTTCACATAAGAGGGAAGTATTTTTTCAAATTACAATATTCGAAGTAAGTTTAGTACATTTCAGTTCTGAAACTCATTTTCTACATTGTAGCCTTGTTGCATGACCATCATGATCTGTTTTATCAAGAAAAAAATTATCATTATAATCAGATCTTACCAGCTTCTTAGTAGCCAACTATTCAAAAACTTAGCACAAACGATTCATAAGAAACTTGTAGAAAAGTCCAGATGTAACATGAGAGACTCCTCTCTTGATATTCTCCTGATCACAAAAATGTCTATAAGTAAAAACTTTATATTTTCCCCTCTAAATCAATTTTTCATCAATTTTAAACTTTTCTTCCGCTTCCTATATATTTAGGTTACTAATCATCTGTTCCTCACTGAAATTTACAATTTAGTTTAAGAAATGGAAAAGTATACATATTGTTGCTTCAACACTGGACTTTGTTGTTGTCCTTTCAGAAGTTATGAAAGCTTTCAAAATTAGAGAATGCCTTTTAATCCTTTGAAGTTACTTACTGTTCATACTACTACAGATATCATCATTATCCAATAAATGGTTGAATGAGCTTAAAATAACAGTGTATACCACACTGTAAAATGTAATTTTAAAGCCTGTTGAGCACAAGTTTTATTAAGTACTGCTGGTGCTTTGTTTAAATAGTAATGTGTAAAATGTTTTAGCATAGCATACAAGTCTGGTTAGCATGGTACTTGTAAGTATACAGATAGCTATCATGTAGTTTATACACTATTTTTGAAAATTATTATTTTTTTTGTATACAGTGTAAAGACTTGTTAAAACAGGAACTTTTGTGAGCAAGTGGTAATGGGAAAATCTGTTCTTTCATTTAAAAATATGTAGACATGGCTATCACAGTTTATGGTACATAATAAATTTTGCATATTTAGTTCATATGTATCTTGTTGAAACCTTGGGTAGTTACATACCGTGTAATTCTGTTTAGTAGTGTACTTGCAACTGTGTGTGTGTATGCATCAGGATAAATGAAATGTAAATTTGATATATAAATGCAAACCTATGAACCTAAAGTAATTATTTGTACACTTGAACATAAAATTAGATTATCTTACTTTGTTACGTAGATGTGTTTGTGCTGAGGAATATGTTGGCTTTCAGGAATGCTAAGAATATATAAAAAATAAAAATCATGTTAACTAGACCTGTTTTCAGTGTTAGGTCAATGTTGACAACTGAGGCGGTACCTGTACTGAGCAGGTTTTTATATGTTTATGAACTGAGCTGTGATGTAGAACTTCACAACCCTGTAAGATGCATGTACTTGTGCTTAGGAGCATATCTGTTTTTGATTCAGTATAGCCTAGAATATTCAAAGTATCCCTGTAGATAAAGGGTTATGTAACTGTGAAAAACATTTCCTGGTGATTAAAGCTGTCAGTAACATTCTTAGCTCGGCTTACCAAATTAGGAGGTTCACAAAGAGTATAAGCACTGCTATATTTCAAATATCTGTTTTATCATTTGTTTTCATTGTGAAATATTTTAAATGGACTTGTTTATGAGATAAGAAAGCTTATCTTTACATAGGATTTTTTGTGCTAATACGTTTATTGGGTTTCAAGCCCATTGGAGTGTTTTAACACTTGAATATTATGTCAGTTTCCTAACATGGTACAAAGATGTGACATCTCAAATGTAATCTTGTGATACACCTTTTATTCACAATATAAATATTTCTAAGTTAAGTTACTGCTTAAGGTGGTTATTCTTGATTGAATTTCCTGACAGATAAGACTTAAGTCTTGTAACTTGGATGTTAGTGAACTTTGAAAAGATTGGTTGCAATGGTATTGCATTAGTAAAGTGTTTTCCACTTGGGTATGAAATTTATTGTGTTGTTCATAATTCTGTAAAAAAAGTATTTATGTTGCAAGAGGAAGTTATTGTTCATCTTGATTGACAAACATCTGTGTGTGAAGATTTAGAAATTGGTAATGTAAAATAAGGCAAGAACTGTGTTATTGTGTAAAACGTATGAAATTGGATGAAAAAATGTTATTTGGTTAGTTTAAGGTCTTTGTGTATCTGCTTATTTTTTCTATAAACTTGGGTATTTAGTTTTATGTTACACTGTCAATACATATTTTATTGTAGCAGTAATATATATGATCAAAGAAAGGTGAATTAAGTTAAGCATCTTTAACAAGCTCAGAACTGTTATGTGGTTGCAATGAACTTGTGTTGCATTAACTCTAGAATTAAGACATTTTTTACTTGCATCTATTAGAATAGTGTATACTTTTAAAGGTAAATTAAATGTATTTAATAAGTCTGGAAAATTAAGTACTTTTTTGTAGCAGTTATTATAACTAACACACTTTTGACTTTACTCATAATTATCTAACTTATAGTTCTACAGTGGTTTCTTATTGGTAAAAAAATGAGAAAGTTACTGTGAGTTGCTATTAAATCTGTAAAAAATGCAGACAGAATTTTAAGAATTTCAGTGCTTGAGTTATTTCCACATGAATATGTCAGTCAAAAATGAAAGTAGTTTGAAACAATTTTGTTAAATAATATTATTAAAACTTAAAATATAGGGTGTATGAATATATGTAGCTAAATGTAGAAGACACGTGTAATAAAACAAAATATATGCTATCACATGGTGGTTTTTATATGTTTATGAACTGAACTGTGATGTAGAACTTCACAACTTGTATTAAGTTTACTTTTTTGCGGAATATTCCACAAAATATTAGAGTGGATGGTAACATTCTTTAATGAAGCCATACTTTATTATGCTAGGTTAACAGGGATGAGAATTTCCCACCAGTCAGTTGATTTTCAATATTTTATGTCATCCAGGGTTTTTTCATGAGATTTGCAATAATCTGGTAAAATAGTTTGTGGTTGTGTCTGTAATACTTTACTATTTTTACATTTCAGTAACACTAAAAATTAGTCATTCAAAGTTGTGCTTTTGGAGTATGTCCAACACAAAAATGATGTGTTCTCTACACTTCACTATTTTGCTAACAACTTCCATAATTTTTGAACATTCACAATCAATTTAATAAATTTTCCTAGTTTTAAAAAATAGCATCTTGCATATGACTCCTTTACATCAACAATTTATTGGAAGTTTTCACGTAAGCTGAATGTAAAGATGAACTTTAAAACATGGCCAGGGTTATCAAGTAGTATGATAAAGTGAGGGCTAGAGAAGATGATAGTTTGATTAAAACTAAATTCAGGTGGAGCTTTGAGAAAGAACTAGATTAGTAATTACTTTTGTTGTTGGGAGTAAATCACAGGCAGTGAAGTTGAAACCAGAGAATTCATTAAAAATGTTAATTTTCCAAGAAAGGTTTTATACATATTTATGCAAACTTATAACAATACTTTGTTGGATTGCTTTACAAGTTTGAAACTTGAAACTATTAAAAAATCTTTACAATTGGGTTACTTATTTTAACATTTAAGGGTATCATATCTGTCTTTTATATGAAAAATGACAGGAAAATGCATCAGAAACCTCTAATTTTCAGATATTTTCTGTTGAAGTATGTTTCCTCTACAGACTCCCCTAGCATTCTGAAGATCAATATTTTGAACTTTTATCATGTTATCATACCTGGGTAATGTAACTTCAGAGTTAGTTTGCAGGAATTCCATTACCATGCAGAAAAATTCATGTTCCCAAATGTGCATATAATTTTACTGGAACTATTCATTGCTGTAATGCTAGTGTGCATACAGAGACACTTTAGGCAGTTGCTGAAGGGGCAATAGTACTATGAAGCTAAATTAGTTGGTGGCTCCCTAGGTGATTGTTAGGCTAATTTTGCAGTCAAACATATATGATACTGAAATAAACTGTTGGTGTGTGTGTGTGTATATATACACCGGGAAAAAAGTTAAGCACCCCGTGTTTTTTTCAAGTGATTCAGATTCGACGTTCTTGTGACTGATTATAAATTACCATTCAATCTAAACGTGTTTATCAAATGAAATTATGCATTATTGGGCACAAGAAAACAAAATTATCACTG